AAACTAAATGTAAATTATGTGATCAGGCATATGGTCACTCTCTTGAACACTATGTGCTTAATTGTCCACTTATTGAGGAATACAGAGACAGACAGTATAATAACCTATGTGACATGTCAAGATATCTTATTAATGAAAATAAGATACCAGATATACTAAGCAAATTTCCTAAATTTGCTTGTAACAGATAAGTGAACTATAGATATGTAGATATAAATCCATATGTATTCCTGTTAACCCTTTGGGGCCTAGTTCCTAGGCCTTTTGTGTATCCACATGCTCTCGCGCTACCGTCCACAGGATGGATATGGGGTGCACAATAAACTAGCCACTTCGGTGGCAAAATCTAAATCTGAAAGAAACATCTTTCAATGCATATGCACTGTAAGATGAACATCTCTCGATGTATATACATTAAGAGATATACATTTTTTGGTATATATACGGAGACATATGTATCTCTTCATATACACTAAGAACTACATTTCTCTTAGTATATAAACTCTGAAACAAATGGTGCAAGAGTATCTTAATGAACACCCTAAATTAAAAAAAAAATAGGAAATATTTCAGTAAGAATCGAGTCCTTCCATCCTTCAGAACCTGTTTTGGGAAGGTACCTCACGAACTTACACGACTTTATTTACATCAGGCAGTCTCAGGTGCCCAGTCTTATTATTGGAGTCAAGACCTTGACCACAGAGGGAGAGAAAACACGACTGTATAACACACGAGGGAACAAGCTAGCCAAAGTGACGACCAGCACATCATCTAAGGTTACCATCGACTAATGTGACGATAGTGATGATTACCAGGATGCTGTCTGTGTCGTCCTGCTCACCTTGGGACAGTATTTAAGTTTTTTGGGAAAGGCAGACAGTGCAGGTGTGGGCACGTTATGTCGTGTGGTCCGTCCGTCCAGTGGACGGATAATTTCATATATACATACATACATACATACATACATACATACATACATACATACATACATACATACATACATACATACATACATACATACATACATACATACACATACATACATACATACATACATACATACATACATACATACATACATACATACATACATACAGAAAATAATTATGAAAAACTTCATCTCCATCAGAAGCTATAATGATCTGAAACTACAACAAGTAGATGGATATTTTATTTTGTAGTGAAGAATAAGTCACAATACTTCTGCTTAAATATTCACAAGTAACCCACAATACCGTTGCTGGAGCAATTCACAAGTAACCCACAGTGCCGTGGCTGGAATAATTCACAAGTAACCCACAGTGCCGTGGCTGGAATAATTCACAAGTAACCCACAGTGCCGTGGCTGGAATAATTCACAAGTAACCCACAGTGCCGTGGCTGGAATAATTCACAAGTAACCCACAGTGCCGTGGCTGGAATAATTCACAAGTAACCCACAGTGCCGTGGCTGGAATAATTCACAAGTAACCCACAGTGCCGTGGCTGGAATAATTCACAAGTAACCCACAGTGCCGTGGCTGGAATAATTCACAAGTAACCCACAGTGCCGTGGCTGGAATAATTCACAAGTAACCCACAGTGCCGTGGCTGGAATAATTCACAAGTAACCCACAGTGCCGTGGCTGGAATAATTCACAAGTAACCCACAGTGCCGTGGCTGGAATAATTCACAAGTAACCCACAGTGCCGTGGCTGGAATAATTCACAAGTAACCCACAGTGCCGTGGCTGGAATAATTCACAAGTAACCCACAGTGCCGTGGCTGGAACAATTCACAAGCAACCAACAGTGCCGTGGCTGGAATAATTCACAAGTAACCAACAGTGCCGTGGCTAGAACAATTTCCAAGTAACCAACAGTGCCGTGACTGGAACAGTTTGCAAGTAACCAGCAGCTCCGTGGTTGGAACAGTTCACAAGTAACCAACAGTGCCGTGGCTGGAACAATTCACAAGTAATCAACGGTGCCGTGGCTGGAACAATTCATAAGTAACCAACAGTGCCGTGACTGGAACAATTCACAAGTAACCAACAGTGCCGTGGCTGGAACAATTTGCAAGTAACCCACACTTCGGAAAGAGAACCTGGGGGCGGCGTTGCGACTTAATAAATGTTCCAGAAGGAACGATAACGTCTTCTTTGGTTGAACTCTCTGACGTGTGAGTCATCTGAGAAGAGATTTTGCCGTGGCTGCAACACACGTTCGGATATCATGAGCAGGACACAACCAAACCTAACTGAACCAATCCTATGTTCACTCTGAGTTGAACCTACCTCTTAGTTCACTCTTATCTGGGCCTATCCTATGGTTCACTCTCATCTAGGCCTATCCCCATACTTCATTCAACTGAACCTATCTTAGGGGAATGCCGGATTAAGGCCCTTAGAGGCCTCAGCACGAGTTTCGTAGATCTTTTGCTGGTTTTATTATTATAGTTGTGTCGATTTCTGTGGGTAGAATGGTTATCATAATTTTCTTAAAATAATAATAATAATAATAATAATAATAATAATAATAATAATAATAATAATAATAATAATAATAATAATAATAAATGTTTTTTTAAGGTGACTGGGTGATTGTGATCCAACCCTCATCATTCGTCCAATATGTAAGGTAAAGACTCTGGACACGAGAAGAGGAAGAAACGTGAAAAGTGGATAGGACATCGAAGGAAATCGGGGACGTGTTCTCAGCTTCGTAAACAAAGTTATATGGGTAGAATTATCGATAATGTTAGGTAAAAGTACGCAGGCGCAGCTGATGTGACATTTTACTGTGGCAACGTTTCGTGGTCATAGAGTCTCAAAACTCCAGCCCGTCGCGTTAGCCACTAGTTTTGAGACTCTATGACCGCGGGTTCAATCCCGGCCGGGGGTATGGTTTTTCTGTAGGATCTTTGTCGAGCCGACTTGACAAAGATCTTGGAGAGCGAAACGTTGCCACAAAAAAATGTTACATTAGTTGCACGTGTAATCTTTTGCTTAACATAAAGTTTGGAGAGTGGCAGCTCAGACTCTCCAGTGGACTCATTGATGTTCATGATGCATCTGGATGAGGAAGATAGTGAAAATGTTGGTTTTGAAGCAGAGTCTTCTCGCTCAGAGGGAAGAAAAAGTGAAGAGCTGGACAGTGTCGTCTTGGATGCAGATGATGTTGAAAACAACATCCCAAGGTAATATCTGATGCTGACTTTAATAATAGGCCTAAACATGCAAATGATCCTGCACTCTGATGAGAAACCACTACAAATTTGAGATGCTCTTTTGCTCCTCTGCTGTTTTGCTGACATCTCGTCTCTGATTATTGATTGTTCTAGTTTTTGAATGACAGGAAGACAATTTCGTGAAAAGAAGAGGCATACGAAAAATGAATTGTTCAAAGATTTTACAAATGGAGAGGCTCTGAAGAGACACTGTCTCGTGTACTCACCTTCAACTGGTCAAGTATTGGTGTGTGTGTAAACTATTTAGCAGCAACAAGTGTTTTAATCAGTTTCAAAATTGGCTTTGTTAATTGAAAGAAGAGAAATTGATTGAATTAGATTGTTGTTTATACACAGTCAGTGGATCACATCAAAGTACTCTCCGTGGTGCTAGAGACTAAGTAGTTTAACCTAATTAATGCAGAACTGTGAAAGATGATAGAAAGATCTTATAAATACTGAGGAACGTTCTTTTTCGAAGCAAGAATTCATTAAAATGGCTGCCCAAACATGGGACAACAATGCTTGTCTTGTGTAATTATTGGTAGCAATACAGACAGTCGTTAGACAAATAGACACACATGCAACTTAATAAGACTTTTATTGATGCAACGTTTCGTCCACGAGAGGCTTTGCCAAGCCGACACATTCATTGCATGTACATAAGTAAATATGGAAGGAAGGTAGGGTAATAGTATTTGAGGTAGTAGTGGTAGTAGTATTGATAGTAGTAGAGATGGTGTCTCAAGTAATAACAATGTCGTATCCTCGAAGTAAGAGTCGTGAAATAATAAAAAATCCTTTACTCTGCGTAACAATATTAGACACAGCTATGAAGGCTGACTCCATGCATTTACACATGTGTATGTCTGGTTCTTGGATAACCAGACTGTATGATAGAAGGATTCCCGTCGAGTTATTCAGGAACCAGACTCACGGGGGTGTAGGTGAATAGAGGCAACACTTAAGTGTCTCCAACACTGTTCCACAGAATAAAGACAGCTCTGTTAACTCCAAGACTTACAGAAATCCTACTTACAACACAAAACACTGCTATCACTTCATACACCATTTCTGCTACTGCTGCTACTACTACTGGTAGTACTACTACTATTACTACTACTACTGCTGTTGCTATTACTACTACTAACTACCTGCTACTACTAACGACCTGCTACTACTAACGACCTACTACTACTAACGACCTACTACTACTACTACCAACAACTTGATAAAAAAAAGTCATGGCTGCTGGAAACATTTATTGAGGCGACGTCTCGATCGACGACCAAACTTTCTCAATCCAACTTGAACAGCAAAAACGTTGTCTCAGTAAGGGTTTCCAGTTTGCTACAGTAACAATTTTTTATTTGGATAGCGGCTATGCTAGAAACGAAGCAGAAATTCCATCGCGAGAAAACATTACTCACGATTATCGGACGGAGGATCGAGCCTACACCACTCCCTGCACTGAATAGCCTACGTGTGCTTAGCAATTTACACACGCAATAAAAAACGCTGATGAGGTATAGGCTGTGAGGGTGGATATGTGCTGGCTTCCTGCAAGGTAGACCAGGTAAGCAAGATTCCTCATACGTTGTTTACACACTAACATCACCGGTCTTGCAGGATTATCGATGTTTCCACCGTGAGTCTAAACTCGGGCCTCGCAGCGAGTAATGAACCATGAGGGAGAAACCGAGGTCAGGTCAGGGTACAGCTACAGGATGCTATGATTTACTGGAGGAACGAAGGTAACTGGCAACCATCTCCAGTGTTAAGTGGAGGAGATCCAGCTTGGAACACTCAGGACTCAGTGTGTTACTGAGCTTCGTCGGGAGTGCTGTATATCGTCTCTGCTTTCTCTGTGTTCCAACAGGTAAGAAAGCTGTGTTCTCACCACCCACACCGTATTTCGCAGTGTTCTTAACAGGAGTGGATAACAAGAGACAGAAGGAGTGAGGCTACGAATTTAGACAATTTGAAGGCCATGGATAGTCGGTCAACTTGTACCTGCAAGACTTGTTGTACAGCCAAACTTGCCCACATTCGGCGCTAGTTGAAGTTTAATGCATTAACCTGCTCTTCTCATTACAGAAGAGCGGGAGTCAAGTTCTATCTACCGGGAGTATCTTACAAAGTGCTGATATTTAGTCTCCAACCCAGAAATCGTAAAAATATGCCAATGTAAGTTTGGTTGGTATGGGAGGTGTAGTGCGCATCATACGACTGACGTGTGGCTACACCCAGCTGATCTCTCCCATATATTTCCCATTAAGAGGGAAAGTGTCTTCAAGCTGGTAAAGAACTTTGGATCCGAAGAATTGGAGCAACTCTCCCACGATTGTCTTCTCCAGTGTATTAATTCTGATCAAGACATTGGTGGTGGAACTTTTCCTTTAACAATTGTCATAACTGTACATACGTGTCTTGTATATCCTGACACTATATCTATACCTTGATGAAGAATTAGATGCACCTGCAACATAAGAACGAAGGAACACTGCAGCAGGCCTACTGGCCCATGCGAGGCAGGTCCAAGTCTCCTACCGGCTTAAGCCAATGCACCCAACCTAGTCAGGTCAGGTCACATTGACTTAAAGGAGGAACACGGCAACCGACCTGGTAGCACAAGCTATCAGGTCCAACTCACACCCACCCACATCCACTCATGTATTTATCCAAGCTATTTTTAAAGCTACACAACGTTCTGGCCTCTATAACTGTACTTGGGAGTTTATTCCACTCATCCACAACTCTATTACTAAACCAGTGCGTCCTATATCCTTCCTGAATCTGAATTTTTCCAACTTAAAACCATTGTTGCAGCCAGCAGCAACAGCCTGGTTGATCAGGCTCTGATCCACCAGGAGGCCTGGTCACAGACCGGGCCGCGGGGGCGTTGACCCCCGGAACTCTCTCCAGGTAAACTCCAGGTAATTGCTGCGAGTCCTGTCTAGGCTAGATATTTTCAGCACTATTTACATCCCCTTTATTTATTCCTGTCTTCCATTTATACACCTCAATCATATCCCCCCTAATTCTACGTCTTTCTACAGAGTGCAGATTCAGGGCCCTTAGTCTATCCTCATAGGGAAGGTTTCTGATACATGGGATCAACTTTGTCATCCTCCTTTGTACATTTTCCAGAGCATTTATATCCATTCTGTAAAACGGTGACCAAAACTGTGCAGCATAATCTAAATGAGGCCTAACCAAGGATGTATAGAGTTGAAGAACAACCTGAGGACTCCTATTATTTATGCTTCTTGATATGAAGCCAAGGATTCTATTAGCTTTATTGTGAACACTTATGCACTGTTGTCTTGGTTTCAGATTGCTGCTAACCAGAACTCCTAAATCTTTTTCGCAATCCGTAATATTAAGATCTACATTATTTAGTTTATATGTGGCATGGTTATTGTCCTGTCCAACATTTAGAACTTTGCATTTGTCTATATTAAACTGCATCTGCCACCACTCCGACCACTGCATCAGTCTACTTAAATCTTCCTGGAGTGCTCTAATGTCCTCGTCAGAATGAATTCGACGGCCTATTTTGGTGTCATCGGCAAACTTGCTGATGTCGCTCTTTATGCCCTCATCTATGTCGTTTATGTAGATTGTGAACAGCAGGGGGCCCAACACTGACCCCTGTGGAACACCGCTCGTGACGCTTCCCCACTCTGATTTCTCCCCATTTATGCAAACTCTCTGCTGCCTATTTGTCAACCATGCCTCTACCCAGGAAAATATTTCTCCTCCTGGGTATCTTAATTTGTAGACGGCTCGCCAACCAGTGTTTTTATCAATATAGATTCAAGGACATAATTGGAAGACTGTAGAACTAGATTCAAAAGCCGAGGTAATCATTCCCGCAGCCTTGGAGTTAGTGAAGAGCACCGTAGTCTTGAACACTACGGTGTTCTTCACCAACTTCGTCTTTTGTATATAGTTCTACAGTTTTCTCATTATATCCTTGAATTTGTATTGATAAAACCACTGCTTGGCGAAACGTCTACAGATAAAGATACCCTATACCATGTACAACCATACCTGCTTACACATAGTTCAACACATTTATTGAAGGAAATGTTTCGTCGCGAGTGACTTCTTTAGTCCTAATACAGAGTAAGATAAAAGAAAAGTATATAGTAAAGAGAGACAGAGGACACGCAGCGAGGGTGAGGTGATATCACGTGACGACTGATCCTAATGTAGGTAATACAGTGGACCCCGGTTAACGATATTTTTTCATTCCAGAAGTATGTTCAGGTGCCAGTACTGACCGAATTTGTTCCCATAAGGAATATTGTGAAGTAGATTAGTCCATTTCAGACCCCCAAACATACACGTACAAACGCACTTACATAAATACACTTACATAATTGGTTGCATTGGGAGGTGATCGTTAAACGGGGGTCCACTGTATTCTGTTGACTAAGAGTTTGGAAACACTGGAAGTCCCGATTTTTTTTTTTCGGAATTGTGTGGGTTTGGAAACGCTGGAGGTGCCGAATCTTTGCAGGATTGTGCAGGCAACGACAGTTAAGGCAACTTCCATGTATTTCCATCTCTGTTGGTCATTGTTATGGGTGACTAATCGGGTTTCATTCCAATTTATCAAGTGTCCACGCTCGTCCCTGTGTTACGTACGGTTGTAGTTGCGATCATGCCAGATAAGATAAGATTTCGTTCGGATTTTTAACCCCGGAGGGTTAGCCACCCAGGATAACCCAAGAAAGTCAGTGCGTCATCGAGGACTGTCTAACTTATTTCCATTGGGGTCCTTAATCTTGTCCCCCAGGATGCGACCCACACCAGTCGACTAACACCCAGGTACCTATTTGCTGCTAGGTGAACAGGACAACAGGTGTAAGGAAACGTGTCGAAATGTTTCCACCCGCCGGGAATCGAACCCGGGCCCTCCGTGTATGAAGCGGGAGCTTTAGCCACCGGGCCACCCGTAGGCCAGCTGTAGGCGTATTTCTACCCGCAGACTAATTTCCAAAGATGGCAAATAAGTTAATCACATTAAATGCTACGTTGCTGACCGGAGAAATGATGTATCTAGCAGCGTCTTCTACCGTTGGGAGGGAGGGAGGGTGCTTGTGGGACCCGTCCTGCACGCTGGTGTAAAATGTAGTCAACTTAAGAGGCACGTAAGTTTCCCCGTCTTCTAATACCATGTTCATTTTTTCCACTATAATCTACCTTGTCCATAATTACTATCACATTTGTTTTGTCTGGTTCATAAGGTGAAGTCCAGGATCTTTCCTTAATTCATGGTAAAACATAACAGATCTTTGAGGATAACTGTGTTGCAGAAGCTTTTGAAGCCAAGGTAGAAGAAGAATAAGTCACAGAAAACGTGGATGGAATAATTCACAAATAACCTACACTTACGAAAAGACGCTTCTCTCCGTCGTATCACTGACGCAGTTATAACGAACGCAGAGCTTCGCTACGTCCACCAAATCTCTGAAAGGTACTGACCAATCTACAACCACGGTGATCACTTGACGTAGAAGATAGCTTGTACGCGTCTACTGAAGGAAACCAGATTTGTATTGGCATGAAAAATGGTGAATTCTTTACTAAAATTAATAAGATAAAGAAAATCCCTTAAACAACAGGTTTGCTAACAGCTGTTGTCAGATATTCATTAGAGAGACTAGAAGAAAAAAAATTTCTGATAAATGATTTCAAACAAGTCGTGCATCTCTAACCTGAAAAAAAAACGATGAGTTTATAGTATTTATTTCGAGTTAAGATAGCAGCGCTGTATAGCCCTTGTGGCTTAGCGCTTCTTTTTTATTATAATAAAATAATAATCGAGTTAAGATAATTAAATTTCATCATAACAGGTTGACTTGCAAGTTTCAAAATAACGGATAAATAAAGGTCAAGCTACCGGACTGGAGGAAATACTTTCTTACATGAAAAATCAACACTAACGATAAGTGGGAGAAGGTCAACCTGAGACACAACCATCACCAGTGTGGTTGCTCAACCAACCTGGTGTATGTTCTCCGATGAACTTGTTGAGGGGTTAACTTTGTCAACCACTGTTGAAGTTTACAGGCAACTCGTGCAAGATGACCTGAAACAATACAGGAAAGACCTACAGAAAAAGGATGCAGCAGCAGTCTTGTATAGAGCGCACTCTGTGGACTCTCACGATCTGCTTTATGAATTGTAATTTACAATTTTAGTTAGAAATCAGGAATTTAATCTATTATTTTCATTTATTATTCTTAGTCAGGGATTATTTATTGAAAATTCACAAACACCTATAAAACAATACAACATATCAAATGAGATAACGAATCTCCTCCAACTCATCAGAAGCTGGACGCGAGCCAAGAATAGCAGGCATACCCCCTCTGGATGGCCACGCTGAGACCCTGCAACATGAAAGTGGCTGCCCTGGGGTCCTTAGTGGTGTCAGTAACATGGAACCTAATTCTTTACGGAAGCGTGTGCCATTCTTTTCCCATGATTACATGGTTTCCGATCCTACTGGGACGAATTGTACTGATGACTTAAGTCCCTGTACTTAGTGAGTTTGTATTTCTCCCTGTGATCGGAAGCACCTCCCTGTTTCTACACACAGGTAGAATCCCATTTTGTAAACTTGCCGTTCTTCTAGGGATAGATGGTGATCCAGTCAGGGCAGTTTGCAGGAGTGTGAGAATTGCTGCATGCTAGGAATCAGGGCTCTCATCCGAGCATCCAGCTGCGCGAAGCGTCTCTGAATGATGCCGTTAACCTCTGTGCTTCGCATGCCAACCCTTGGTTTTGGAACAGTTTTACTATGCAGACTGTAATAATCGGCTGGCATATCACCGCAAATATATTCCGTGTGGATTGAGGCAG